GGACAGGACTCCAGGGTGACAGAGTTTTGGGATGAACAGGACTCCAGGGTGGACAGGGCACCATGGGAGGCACACTTAGCCATGATGGTGGCTTTTTTTGGGTCCTGGTTTGTCCCCAATTCCCAGTTTCACTCCCAGCATGTGCCACTGACCACCACTSTGTGTTTGTGCCTTCTGAACTGCTGAACCCAGGGGTTGTGAACATCTGACCTCCTCCTCCTCCCAGCCCAGCATTATGCACAGAATCCATTTCAGAGTTTTCCAAAGAGAATTCCAGGACTGTGAGGAAGTTGCACAACAGCAGTGTTTCCAGGAAYAGTGAAATGTGGCTGTGAATGGGAGCAGCACAGACTGGAATTGCAGCCTCCCAGCCAAATATTGCCAGCTTCCCTTGGGAATTGCTCTGGAATTTCTGTTCCAGCTGATGTCACAGTCATCTTTCCACAAGGAATGGTTTTTATCCTCGTGGAGGCTGGTGGGAAAAAATTCTGCTCCTTCAGGAGCCAACTTTTCTTCCTCTTGGTTCTAAAACTGCTTGGATATGTTTTTACTCTGAAAGGATGGGGCACGTTTTATGCACTAAAATGAAAACTTTTGTACAAATCAAAATGGATTTATACCAGTGCTRGAATCACTTGCTCTGGTATTTCTTGATATCATGTGGAATATCAAATTTTCTTGACTAAAAGTGCCATATCTGCTTGATTGTTATTTATCTATGAAGTGTTTAAGTGAGAACGGGAAAATTGGAAGAGGACCAAAAGTGCTTCCATGGAATGTCCTGAATTTTCTAACCTTGGCTTGCATTTTGCAAATCTGCATTAAAAACGAGTGTGTTTGACTGCTTTGATGTGTGCTTTGTCTTGTAGGGTGGTTCTTGTCAGGTGTGGGGGATCTTCCTGCACCTTCTGGGCACTGGGATTCCATCTGGAATCTTGATCAAACTCCACRTTCCAAGGAAAATGTCTATTAAATGTCAGTGTAAGGGATAAAAGGGTTTTATTTGGGTATTTAATGGGTTTTCAGGTGTATAATTTGAAGGAAAATGTACGAAATG